ATCTCAGTCCATCTGTAATTTTCTGATTCTGTGAGAAATTTGGAGTCTTAGAGTTTAAACACACTAAAGCTTGAGGACAAAGGGATGTTACGATACTAAAGAAATGCAGAATATTTTTTTACAATAATAATTTTTCATTGCCAATATTGCTTGCATTTCATATTCTGGTTGGATAAAGTTTAGAGATTTAACCAGTTATTCAACATTAAAAAAATTGGTTCAGTGAACTAGCACTTCTTTCATAAGAGCTGAGTTCAGAATGTTTTCTACAGTATTTAAGTTGTACTGCACTTAACTGCTGATATTGCCTGAGACACTGGATGCTATTCATTCATTCATTATGTTAAGAAATACCTTCCAAGCTTCAGGCAACGGGCAAAGGTGTAATAAGACAGAGTGTCAGATCTAAAAGAGCTCAAAATATGCCAGAAGAAGACCTGCAAATCCTGTATTATAGTCACATTTTATTCAAGCTCATATTCATGTGCCAACCATAATGCCTATTGCATTTACATTAATATTTCTTAAATAAATGGGGAAAAATAGTGATATATGGAGGATGAAAGGCCTTAACGGTCTTTAAGGCCAATTAGCCAGCAATCAAGAGAATTTTAAGGTTTAGCATACTTGTCCTGCATTGAGGAAAGGACATTTGTCTTGAGTTTGTTTCTGCACCTTGAAGCACCAGATAGATTCAAGTTGCCATTGTTTTTTGGCCTTGATAGTGGCACTCTGAAACATCTGATAGCAATTGCCACTATAGATATTGATGTTGCTGTTTTCCCTTTTCTTTTTGAAAAGAAAGTAACTTTATTGTATTATTTGGTTTTAAAATTAATACAACTTCATTATAAAAAATTTAGATAAAAGAAAAAGAAGGTGGAAACTACTTTTAAACTTAACCACCCATTTTAGTGTATAACCTTTTAAAAAACATTTCTTTGAATCTATATATAACATTATACACATATAACACATTTCACAGACTCACATGCACACGTATACGATAGCATTGTGTGTGCATGCCTGTGCAAATCCCTGTACCACTGAGACATCAGCTGTGGCCCTCCTCCACCGAAAGTTTAGTTAACTTGGTCCAGATTCCAATTTCATGAACTGAGACAGGCTTAAGGCTTCCCTTTGATGCCTGTACATTTTGAGGGTTATTTGGTTACTGTTCCCACTTTCATGCTTTTTCATTATCATCTGTTGTTTCTCTAGGCTTACATAATATCTTGGCTGCAGAACGTCACCTTCTCACAGATTCATTACAAACTGCCATTCTTATTGTGCATTTGTCATTTTTTTTTTACAGAATTTATTGTGGCTTCAGAATCCCTGTGAAGGATCGTATCACAGAGCATGACCCTTTTTCCTCCTGGCTCCATGCATCTTCCTTCCTGTTTTAGAACAAGAAAATTTCCCCTTTTGACCCACAGAGAGCAGTCTCACCGTTATCAATATCCTTTCCCAGGCACTTGTCAGGATGTATTTCTCAAAATCTCATTCTCTAAGAAATATTCTAAAAAACACAGTTCCTCCGTGCTATGCATACACTTTTATTGAGTATATACATTTGCTTCACAAAAATGGGATCATAACTATCAATATTCTTTTATAGCGTTTGTTTACACCGACTTCTATGTTGTGAGCATCTTTTCTGGGCAGTAACTATAAACCTTCATCAGGTTTTGGTGGCTGTATACTACCCTCCTGAAAGGATGTGTCATCACTTGTTTAGCCTACACTCAGGCTGTTCCAGTATTTTGCTGTGATAAACAGTGTTGTGATGAGCTTCCTTGTAATTTTCTGTATAGTTTTCCATTCCTTCAGAAACTCACTTAACTGATTCCTTCTTAACTTGCTGAATTATAATATTTCATGTGCTTCATTTATCTGTAAAACATTCTGTGCATGTGCACGTGTGCACACACACATTGATAATGTTCAGGAGGTATTCTATTTTACTGAATTTAATTTTTTTCATTAGAAATATATACATTTTCAGAGTCTGTCGAGTTCATCATATGTTTCATCTTTGACTTACTAATAGATTTCCTGTACATTTCTGTCTCATTGGAGGAATGAACCCCACTTGAGTTAATGTTGCTAATATATTGCTGAATATGATTTGTAAATACCATCCTTGTGTAAAATTTTAGATTTATGTTCATAGGTAAGAGTTCTCTCTGGTTTTCTTATATGCATACTCTGTTAGGCATTGATATCAAAGTTATACTGTCTTTCTAAAATAAGTAGAGAGGTTTCCTTGGTTTCTTTACTTTGTAATAGTTTAGTATAGAATTACTTATTTCTTCAATATGTAAGAAAAAGTTTTGGTCTTGACATACTTGTCCATGTTATTCATGGTTTATTATTCTATTTAGGTTTTCTCTTTTTAGATTTTTCTCTTTCAGGTCAGTTTTGGTGAAAAAATATATATGTATATATTTGGAGGCCATTCTTTTTCCTAGATGTTCAAAAATTCCAGTAGAGTTATATAAAATCGCTGTGTTTATAATTCCTTTTTATTCTTAATTTTGTCTTTTTCTCTTTTTTTCTTGATTACAGTAGTTGGTATTTGGCTTATATTAAAAAAAAGTTCTTCACTCTATTAATGAATCCTGCTATTTTAATTTATTACCTGGATTACTTCTACTATTTCAATGTATTAATTTCTAACTTATTGCTATTTGTTTCTTTTTCCTATTTTACTTATATTTGATATTCTTCTCTAGATTTTAAAAAGAATGTTTAGTTAACATTTTTGACCCTGTTGCTTGCAGTTAGTGTTCAGTTAATTTTTCTAAGCACAGTTTTGACCATCTACCATTGGTTGAGTTAAGTAGCATTCCTATTTTTGATATATACTAGATATTCTATAACTATGGTATTGATTCCCTACTGACTTAAAAATTATTTAGGAGAAAGTTTAAGTTTTTAAGTGCTTGGGTTTTATTTTTGTTTCTGCTTTTCTTACTAATTTCTAGTTTCATTACATTGTTGTCAGAGAATGTGGTCTATACCATTTCTGTTTACAGTAAATTTAATGAAGTTTTCTTTGTGGCTTACTATATGATTTTCTTAAATGTCACATGGTTTATTAAAATGCCCCATGGTTTGTTACTCTTGCATTGTTAGTTTCTTCAAGAATCACCTTCTCTCTAACATTTAACCTCTAGAAAATATTTAATATCTTTCATTTTAAAAACAAGAAGTAAAATTATAAAGGTGAGTTAAGGGGCCGGCCCAGTGACGCAAGCAGTTGGGTGCACGTGCTCCACTGCGGCGGCCGGGGGTTCGCTGGTTCAGATCCCGGGTGCGCACTGACGCACTGCTTGTCAAGCCATGCTGTGGCGGCGTCCCATATAAAGTAGAGGAAGATGATCACAGATGTTAGTGCAGGGCCAGTCTTTCTCAGGAAAAAAAAAAAAAAGGAGGAGGATTGGCATCAGATGTTAGCTCAGGGCTGATCTTCCTCACACACACACAAAAAAAAGGTGAGTTAAATTTTAAACAAATGAGACTATAAAGATTCAAAAACTTCACGATATCCTCTCCCCCAATGGCTGTTGTTCTATGTCAGGAATAGATATTCTTACAGATTAAAATTTGAAGTCCTGCTGAGCATATAGGACTCCTCATTCCTCTGCTACATCTCATCCTGACACTTATCCCTGGCACTTGTCACTCGTGTGTGTGTAGTTGGTTGCTGGCTCTTGTTGGGGGCTGCTGGTCCCCGAGCTGGATGAGAGTCTAAGCAATTGAGTGCATCGTCTTTTAATCTTTGTGAAGATGTTATGGGAGCTCTGTACACAAAAGTGCTCTCCTCATACAGTTGTAAGAATAGAAACCTTCCTGTTTTTCTGTCATTGTTTCTTTTCTTACTCTCAGGTCAGGTAACAAATTTTTTTTTTTGGAAAGAGGAAATGTGAAGGAAGTCTTTAAGATTAATGGCACTCTGTCACTGTAGGATCTTCTTCATCTTGCTCTTGACAAGGAGTTAAACAAGCAGTATCCTCAAACTTCAGTTCTTCAAACTGCTTCCTAGCACTACCAGATTTAAATAGTGATTTTTCTTATGGCAACATCTTTTTCCCATTAAATATCATATTATGTAAAAATCTCACCAACTGTTTGTCAACAGTTAACAATGTTTCTGAACAATCTCATGGGTATAATAGTAGAATTTACATGAAATATTTACCAGATTTGCTTTGAGAGAAATGAATGATTTTGAAATATTAAAAGTTTTAAATTGAGTATATAAATTGCCTTGAAAGAGCTCAGAAAGGTCACGTAGGAATTTCATATCAGTTAATTTCTTTGGTCAAAGAAGTGTAGAAAACAGTAGGTTAAAAGCAAAGTTAGAACAGGTGAATTTACCGCAGGAGTTCTCAGAGTCTTTAATATGCATTGTGAATCTCTAAATGGGAAGGAGAGATACAGGGGAAAAAGGGTATTTCAAACTTATTAGCCATTGACACTCCCACACTTTTTCCAGATAATATTTAATTCTATCTCTATATATGCCTGTTATAGTTACTAGCTACTAGTTATATCTCCTTGTATTTTGTGCTACATTTTCAGGAAAACTGATGTGCTCTTAACTTCTTCATTATATAGGTGAGAACACTGGCTCTAGAGAATTTAAGTAATTTAGTCTCATGGATAATTAAAAGCACTGAGTATTAGAACCCAAGTGAGGAAACTGCCAGGACACTGGTTTTTCCATTATCCTTCATTATTACCTCCCAATATGAAATGTCACTTTCTCAAAATGTATTCCTTCTAATGAGCAGTGTTTTCTTCAGTCCCTATTAATAAATATTAATTCTTTTTTTTAATGTCTCAATTTTGGATATGTGTATTTGTATATGTTTTAGATGTAAAGTAAAGGTATTTTGTTCTTGATCCAACATTTTTGGGCTACTATGAGCTTCCCTTACGTTTTGCACTGAAAAATCATCTGACTGTGAAATCTGCTTTTTCTTTTGCAGCGGCTCTAATTAGAGGAAATCGTAAAAACTGTGCTCAATTTTCTGGCTCCCTTGACTGGTTGATCAGCCGACTGGAAAGACTGGAAGCTTCTTCTGGTATGTTTTCCAGTTATCTCCTTGTTATGATATATTATTCCTGTTTTGTTCTATTTTATGTTTTTTAAGACACAAAAAAACCCTCAGGTTCAGTGCAACATAAATGTATAGGTTAAAAATTTTACTTATTGATAAAACTATTGTATTTTCATTAGTTATTTCTGAAAAGCAATCTAACAGTATCATGTTCATTTACATTTAAAAAAGAATGAAGTTCTGAAAGCCACTAAAGAGCCAGAATTCCCATTTTTTTCCAAATCAATTACTCCTCATGTACTATACAAACAGAAGGATTGGTTTGGAATTCCCATTTTTCACTTGTGTTCAAATGATTATTTGGACAGATTTGGAAAAAAATTAGTTTTCCAAATCATGTAGCATAATATTTTATTTCAAAGGGATTTTAGTAAATACTAATCAACAGTCTGTATCATAGTGAAACAGTTATAGGCAATAAGCCTGATACATCTGTCTCTAACAAGAATGCTATTTTTGTTTATGTTGTGGAGACTTACAAGTGATTACCAGGCCTGCCTGAATTCTCCAGCACCATACATCGCCTCAGCGACACCCTAAACTGAATCTATTTCTCCTCCATCTGTTTGCGTAGTATTTCATTAGTTGCCCTTCTACAGCACTAATGCCCCTTTATGTTATTTATTTTTCCTCTCTGTCTCCTACACTGGTAATGACCTCCGTGAAGGCAGGGGCATGATTTCGTTCATCTTTGTGTTCTCTGGATCTACCAAACCATCTGGCACCTAGTAGGTGCTTCATAGTATTTGTTAAATGAGTGAATGAAAGAATGTTTTTTTTTTAATTTTAATTAATTAATTTATTTATTTTTTCCCCCAAAGCCCCAGTAGATAGTTGTATGTCATAGTTGCACATCCTTCTAGTTGCTGTATGTGGGACGCGGCCTCAGCATGGCCGGAGAAGCGGTGCGTTGGTGCGCGCCCGGAATCCGAACGCGGGCCGCCAGCAGCTGAGCGCGCGCACTTAACCACTAAGCCACGGGGCCGGCCCTGAATGAATGTTTGAATTCACTTAAAAAAATGCCTGTCAATACAGCAATAATTCCATGACTTTTGCATGAGAAAGACCCATTCAGGGACAGGTTTGTTGGAATGGAATCAAAAGAGAGAGAGAAGAACAGATGGTTTTGGTCAAAGAGGGTAATTTTAAGTGACAGAGTGAAATTTCAGAGTTTAAGATTTAGGAGGAAGAGAAATTTGAGTCACAATGAGTTCTAAGACATTGCTGGATTGTTGTGTGGCAGAAATAGAGTAGAGAAGGATATTTTTGAGATAAAGGTTAAAGAATTATAGGATGAGGATTTTCAGGGTATCACAATATGAATGCGATGACTATGAATCGATACAGAATATATTGAAAAAGGAGGAAACTGAATAACTACTGGGAGGAAGTGATCAAATTCATGGTAACAAGATGAGGGCAGACATTGCAAAAAGGGATAAACTCTTGAGTCAGTTTCTAGAATTGTTGACAAGCTCAAGTAGATACAAAAAAGTTTGCCAGTCCCTTTTCTTGGCTCCAGAGAGTGTCTGGAAAGAGAGAGGAACAGAGCAACCTTCAGGACAGTGTTAATGCTGGATGAATCAGCTGCTTCACTGAAAAAAAAAGAAGCCAGAAATCGCAATATAATGGTGTACACTTGAAACTTATATAATGTTGTAAACCAATGTTACCACAATTAAAAAAAAGCACAGCAAAAATGCTCAAAGGAAAAGAGGAGAGAGAAGGAAAGAACAGAGCCGAGTATCCTTTAAGCTCAGCCAAGAAGAGTCCAGTGTTTACAAAGGCTTCGCTTTAGTCAATTATGGGCACAATTCCACTGGATACAAATTGCTGTTTGCTATTATCTTTTCCCAGTCCAGCTGTTGGTCACAGGCACTTCTACTTAAAATAGACTCCCTGTGCTCAGAGAAAGCATAGTGAAAGTCAATGCTTACCTAACATTCTCACTTTAGAGGGAAGAAAATTGAGGCATAGAACATATAAATGACTGATTTGAGATGCTAGAATTAATTGTTATTGCCAAGATGGAAACCTAGCTCCCTTACGTCAGACTTGAAATATGTTCACTATACCTTGTAGCCTCCTAGTTTTTAAGTATCTAAAATATTTTTCACTAAACAGTTTTTTCTACTGTAGTTACATTTACGCTTTTAATGAACTGCTTTTTTCCTGGAGAAAGTAGAATGTTGCTTAGTTTTTAGAGACAGTGACAGTAATGATATGCACATATATATCTATAAATATATAAATGTATTTCAATCATGCTTTATTGTTTACTGAGTGCTTCTATATGCATCATCTCATTTTCTCTCTGAGATTGCTGAACGCACGCTCCCCTCAGCTTTTCAGTCTCCCAGCTGCATTGTTAGTCTCTATGTGTCTGTATGTGAGCGGCAGAGCAGGGCCAGGGGCTCTGTGAGCTCTAAATTTCCTTCAGTAAAGGGCAATGGAGAAAAATCAAAATAAATTTGTGCCAACTTAAATAGAAAGCTGATGAAGACTTGAAAAGTGTCAGCAAAAGGATGTGTTAATGAAACAGCTTACCTTAGTTTGGGTTCCACCAGAAGTAGACCTTGAGACAAGGATTGAAGGGCAAGCTTAATTGGAACATGAGTGGACATGAGCCCAAGTAGAGAAGGGGCCAGAGAGGGTATGTTGACAAGCAAGTTACCGCCATGAGTACCTGGAGCTTTCTTTACTGGGGAGTTCTGGGAAACTAGCACATATGCCTTAGAGTTATCCCATCTGAGGGGTGAGGGAGTTGGGGTGTTTATAACCAACTTCTCTCTGTCGCTGGGTTGTGCTGCTCCCAGCGGGCATTATTTCTGTGGCTCCTCCAGCTGCCACTATGGTCAGAGCAAATCTTGAAGCAAAGAAATGCAGGAGCTGGCAGTTGGAAGTCAGGCAGCATTCACTGAATGGAGAGGATGAGGTCTCAGCAGGGCCCCGGCAGGGTCTGCTCCCCAGCCCACTACTGTTTCTCTCATTATACGATAGAGAGGCTCCGAAAGGGCAGCCAGACAGATATTTGTCTTTTCACATTCTGCGTCATCTGAAGTTGACCCATATCACTACTGCATAAAGCGTTATCAGAAAATCTGATCAGTTTATAAGAACGGCCACTATGCATTTCTTCAGGGGAAAAAAGATAAGTTAGACATTGTCCCAGCCTTCATGTGTGACTATGTCTCTGGGCCAAATTTAATTAAGACAATAAAAGATGTGTATGAGCAAGTATAGTTGATTGAGTTGATATATTTCTGAAGTCTGGGTTTTTCTTTATGTTGTGCCCAAATAGCATTTCAAGTGATAGCCAACTAAAAACAGTCAGCTGGTCAGGAGGCTGCATACTTTTTCTGAGTCTTATTTTCTGTGCAGTCCCTTCCCCAGATAGTTTTGCAGTGAGGAAAGTGGCCTTCTTTGGGATTCCTGCCAATTCTTCCCCACTCTTAATGAGTGCCATGAATGAAGTGGCCTCTGGGTTTAAGTGGAATAAGGAGTCTTTGAGTGGTCTTGACTTGCCAAAGCTTTGTGCTCACACGTGATACAACTTTTGGTACCTGGAAATATGATAGTTTAAAGCTTCCAGAGATGTCACAACTTTTTCTTGCAGGGCATAAGCTCATCATTTTTCAAAGGGAAAATTTTGTAACCTGTGGAGTAATCTGTCACAGAATCTTGTGTCCAAGAAGCTCTTCCTCCTTAATATCTACTTAGGTGCGAGGAATCGAGTTAGAAAGAGTATAAACTCACAGGGTATTATGTGAGATCCACTGTTAGTGATGCAGAAATCATAGCTAACTTTTTTGAGTGATACCAACAATTCAAGCAACGCTAATGGTAACAGAAAGAGATTTCCAGAAGATAGCCTTGGAGAAGGCAACTTTAGCTTTTGACTCAAAGCTTTTGATTTTGCAGAAAGTCAGCTATGGTATACCCGGGGGGTTATGCACCTGAACCCTATGAGAAACACTAAATCAGAATCTTGATGACATTGGACACTTCTAAAGAAAATCTTTTGTGATAGCTGTTGGGGTCTGTACCTGTTTGAGCCTATTACCCCGTGCAGAATCATCCATCTGCCTCCAGAGCTTCATCATAGCACGTTACAATGATTGGTGTGTTTAATAGCGATCCTGGGTCATCAAGATATCTAAATTATGTTTAATGCTGATGGATCACTTAAGAAGACAGGGAAACATAGAATACATTTTTCAAAGATATTCACTCTAAATGATTGAAATAATGTATTATCAATTAAAGGTTACTAATTTAATAATTAGGTAAGACCCTTGTCAAAGATTACTCATTTTCTTTTCTTTTTCTTTCTTTTTTTTTTTTGTGAGGAAGATCGGCCCTGAGCTAACGTCTGCCAATCCTCCTGTTTTTTTTTTGCTGAGGAAGACTGGCCCTGGGCTAATATCCATGCCCATCTTCCTCCACTTTATATGGGACACCACCACAGCATGGCTTGACAAGCTGTGCGTGGGTGCGTGCCTGGGGTCCAAACCAGTGAACCCCAGCCACTGCAGCGGAACACACCCACTTAACTGCTTACACCACCGGGCCAGCCCCAAAGCTCACTCATTTTCGAATGATGTTAGAAAAGTCAGCATTCAACGATACGCCTCCTTCCTTTCTCAGCAACTGGAAAGAAAAAGAGGACAGACAATGGAGAATCTGGATTTGGAGAGCTTCCTGTATTTTGGTGTATTTTACCAGCAATGTGAAAAGTAGGAAAAGAAGTACCCCAAAGTAAAGACCAAAGGAAACAGAACATTCTTTTCAGAATGAAAAAAATGATCAGAGTTGCTGGGTTATCTGAAATCTTTATCGTTTCCTAAAAGCCTTTGTGTGGGATATGTGGCAAAGTGCATTTCTAGAAAATGGTTCTTGAAATGAAAAAAATCTTCAACTATCTCATATTTGAGAAAAAAATTTTAGTATTTTGTGAAATATAG